GCTTTGTACGGAAGTGGGGGATTAGCTGTTGTGGCAGTGGCGGGTGATGAGTCGACTGCGTGGACTTTCTCATGGACGTTGCGGCGCCTAGCGCTGTGCATGTAGGTGTGTGCGAAGGTGTCTGGCTGAGGATGGACCGGACACAATTGAATTTGAGGCTAGAGAAAAAAAAAAATAGTATGCCTCAGTTCGCTCCCGATTTCGCACCGCACACTTAAAGCCAATTAAAGTAAAATTAACTGGATCATTGAATCAAGTGGGAATTTCTGGAAACGCCAATTGGAAGTTAATGGGAATAAAGAAAACCAGCAAATGGGTCAGCCAGTGGGACGGCCTGGGAAATGTCAACTAGTACTAAAAGCTCCTGCAGTGCTCGACTCACCTATCCGACTCCGCTACTAAGACACGAGCGTGCCTCACAGCGGGTCCCACGGTCACTGTATGGCAAGGCAACCATGAACCACACAACCCCGTCGCAGTTATCAGTTTGATATCGCTCGACTCCCCTTGGAGGGTGCCCCCATGTGAGGGCCCCTCCCACCCTGAGAAGACTCGAGAGGCACTACCTTTATGTCAGCCTTCCCCTTATACGGGCCGCCTCGACTCACGAATCACCACGCAGCGTCACACGTCCCATGTCGCACGTCTCGCACTCACGTCATACGTGTCACGTTATACGTCCCACATGTCAACACGCTTCACGGTACACGCCCCGTCTCGGTCGGGTCGTCACACGTCTTGCGTCCACAAATGTCACACGTTGCACGCCCTCACGCCGGCCCCACGTCTCACGTCACACGAAACACGCTGCGCTCCCCGCCTCACAAGCTCCTACTCCAGCGGGGAAGGCTAGGGTTGACAAGTCCCTCTTTGTTCCCCCCGTCCACGAGAGGAACCCCAATGCTAGGGTTCCCCACCCCAAGTGGGGAATTATCGCCAGAACCTCCGTTGCAGCAATGAAGCTGGCAGGGCGCACCACGAGCAGGTGGAGGTTGACTTCCCACGCGTAGACAACCGCGCAGGCTTATGCCCCGATAGACCGGACAGGAGGAAGCGGCTTGACCTTCGGGACTGTGGGTTCGGTAGGGGTAAGGGGGGTTGTGGTGTCATCCTGACCGTGCTATCACACTGCTGTGTCATCACTCATCTGTCATACTAACCGACCTGTGCGCATGCCCGCGTTCGCTCGCCTCTTATCGGATGTACGGCGCGTGGCAATATATACGGCGGATGGAATAAGCAAAGGGACATGCTGGGAACTACGTCGTAGTCTGTTCCTTCGTCGCTCCGCAAGGCACACGACAGGGCTTGCCTTTTTAAACGAGTGTCTGACAAAGAAACCTTCAGCTGTGTTTGAGACGTTGCGTTGTGTTCGTCCCCTTCTGTGTTCCTGAGTCTCTGGTTTTTATTACCATGAATCACCACCAGCTCGCTTGTTTTTTAAGTATTGTTGCAGTTAATCTCCCCAAGTCATGCTTTTGTCCGTCAGAACCGGGTGTTTTGGGTGGCCTTCCTGATGCCTCCGTGGATGTCTACGTCCTGGTTGTGCTGAGTAAGCTTGGGCACCAGCTCGCTCAATTGGAAGCGGACAGATGTGTCTTCAGTGTGTGCCTACGGAAGAAGTTGGTGGATCCCGCGAAGGTTCCACTACTTGAGTGCGGTCAACGGCCCGTGGTCCCTGAATAAGAGGGTACTCAAGAGCTACAGGACCGCAGTGCATCATCAGCTCAGCGAGGTCCGGCAAATTTGCGACAGCCTTTGGACTTCATATCGCGGGCATGGGTTATTCCAATCCTCTGTGGAGTAGTTGTTTTGGGTAAAACTGAAAGGCAAATTGTGGGCGCCTCAAAGGAGGGCGCTTTTGAGCGGGCCTCAAAGGAATGAGGAGGTGGCTTTGTCAAACATTAATTTGGTCCCGGTTGCTAAATCACGAGAGGATAACCAAGTGTGCCCAAAGGTGGTGAATCCTTCGCAGGTGACGTTGTCTCGGCGAGCTGAGAACTTTTTGGGGGATGGCCCGAAGTTCTGCTTCAATGTCAAGCCCTCAAGGTTTGACGTTGTCGCGGCTGTGCAGGCTGTGGGAAGAAGGATCCCGGACTCGGTCGCGAGATCCAGTTACCAGGAACAGTCATTTAGGGTAGTCTCGAAGTTCACGGATAACAAAGCAGACTATGACAAAAGGGACTTTCGTCAGGTTCTGGGGGTCAGAAGAGAATTGGAACGGAAGAAGGTAGCGTTATTACAAACTATAAAAGCGGGAAATTCGGTGTTTTGCCGCTGAGTTTCTATAAAAGGAAGGTAGATGTTGCTCTCAACGGTCTCTTTTAGCCCTGGATAATAAATTTGAGGAAAACGAAACAGAGTGTCATTGCGATTTTGTACGAGTGGGAGTTTGAGGGGACGGCTAAACGGATATGGGACGCAACAAAAGGCACGCTGTCGGTAAAGTATTTTCTGAAGGACAATAAAGTTGGAATGCCTTTGAAGATTGTCATCAATGAAGGTGGGACGCGGCAAAAGGTACTTTCGGAATTTTTGTTGAATGCGCTTTCGGTCTTGCGTTGCAAAACCCACTTTCGCTCAGAAATTCGGAAGAATTGTTGGAGCTTTTGGAGGTGTTTCACCACGAAGGTTGCAGAGTGGCCTCTTTGGATATCAAAGATTTATACTATTCATTGGACCAGGGTGTGTTGTTGCAACGTGTGAAGGATTGGCTCGAGTTAGGTTTAGTTAAGTTTCAGTCAAGTTACGGCATTAGCGGCTTCTTGGTGTTATTGGAGAGGTATTTGTCGGTCACTGCTGTGGGTTTTGAAGGAAGGGAATTAGTTCAGAAAAAAGGCGTGTGCTTTGGTTCACAATTAGCGCCCATTCTTTCTGAAATTTACTTACGGGTTTTAGATCTGAAAGTCGAGACGGTGTTGACGTCGATGTCAGGTTGGGGTGCTTTAGTCAAACACTATGTCGATGACATTTTGGTTTGTACGACGAGAGGCAGTGACTTGGCGATGCTTGTGGACTTCATCCGAAACGCGGCGCCTGAGCTGGCCTTTGTGACGGAATTTCCGAGGGATGGTTCACTACAGTTTCTGGATGTTAAGATAAGTTTGACGAACGGTTTGTGCTGGACGTACGGTGGGGATGAACCCAGGACATTGTTGCCCTACATGAGTTGTCATGCCAAGATGGTCTAGAGAGGTGTTGCTGCTTCACTGTTGAAATTTTGCTTGAAGGCGTTTACTCTCTGCAATCAATCGCTGCTATTTTTCTGCCGATCGCGGTGATTCACTACTCCCGTGCTCTGCAGGAAAGCAGACCCACGGGTCCTGTTCATAAGAAGGGCGGCTGCTACTCGAACAAATACGGTACATAATCTAGCTACCTCTCAACATAATCACCGCACACATTAAGGTCAGTATTATGACGCGGCACAATCTTTTCGACATCCTCCCAAAGAAGGTCACGCCATCATGCATCAGCAAGATTGTCACTCGTCAAAGACGTGTAATGCGTTTGGAGGAAACTACATAAAGCTTCAGGAACTATGAGCAGACGTCCACGACGATGGGTGTCAGGGAAGAACGTCCGTGTCGACAGGCGATCTGGTTCAACTCACGATGGAATGGCCGAGAACCCATACGGAAGCTTTCTTTGCAGAGTACATCCAAAAGCTCGTGTCCTGTCATAAAATCTGCCCTAAATCAGTACGGTGCTTATGTGGACAAGTTGCTAGAGTACGTATGCATCTTTACAACCTGCGTATATTAAAACAATGTTCATCACTCTCGTTTTTTTTTTTTTTTCTGTCCAGTTCAGCGGAAATTGAAAAAGAAAGCATCCATCGTATTAATATTCTTAGGTTGTTATTACCCTTGATTTTTCTCTCCATCCCACTCTTTATGACGCGCTGAGCAAGACGCGCAGGAGTAAATGTGGTTGTTTATTTGCCGGCCTAAAAGAGTTGGCGATTCCTTGTCTAAAGCGTGACGCCCCGACTACTGAAAATCCACCTGCAACGTCCCGGGACAACTTCAGTTCTGCGACGATATAAAACTGCGATAGTGTCACTGAGTGTTTAAGAAAAGCAGGACGTAACTAATTATGTTCCCGCTTTGCTTCGCGATTTTCTCTTCAACGTACTTGTGGACAAATGCCGCAGTCTGATTCGCTGCAGAGCAATCATGAGATGCGGGATTCGCCATGCCTTGCGTTTCGTAAGCTGTCGGTGATTACAGTTGTAATTTAAATAAATGTAGTTAATTTAAATAAAAAAGGGTAAGGGCATTGTGCGATAGTTTCACTACTTGGATTCTTTGATCTTCGACTCGAAGGAGTTCCCAAGAACAACGGGATTCCAAACACAAAGAGGAAATGTGAAAACCATTAGCCCTTTGTGTCCAGGCTAAAGATATGCGGGTGAAGTGGGATCAATATAGTATTTGTTTTATAGGTCGGAATTACTTTTAAATAAAACTGCATGGGCTGGTCAGCGATAGCAGCATTTCTGCGAATTTCATCGCACGTAATTTCAGAAGTTTCATTAAAGCACAACCCCAAAGATCGCAACCTCTTGTTCTTGCTTGAACGACGCAAGGGACGATAATACGTATCTTGCTACATTCCTTGTTTTTCAGTTACGTTGTTAACTCTGCTCATGTCTTGCCACTGATGTTGTTCCTGTTGTTTTTTTTTTTTTTAGTGAAGTTACTCAATGTGTTTGTTGCAGGTGTGTTTAGAGAGCGTGATATTATACCCCATTCACACGGGCAGCCTATAGCGGCACCTTCAACATCTATAGTCTATTTTAAATCGGCGAATCAGTCCGCGCTCTGGGGCTGCAAGCGCATGCCACGCTCGAAGAACAGTGAACTGATTCGCCGCCGACTAAAGAAAGATCCTAATATTATGGGTGCCGTTTCGGTCGTGTGAATGGTGTATTAGTCTGCTGCTTCAGACACCTGAATGAGAACCTTCGAAACGACAGCGATTGGTCTCGTTTCTAGACGCACAGCAAGATGCTCTACTCTGGAAGCTCGGACAACACCGCCCGTGCATGGGTGATGGAGTTCGGCGAGTGCACACGAGTCTACCGGGGCCACCAGCACACTGTCGACTGTCTCCGTTACCACGACCGAATGCGTGAGTCTCCTTGAAAGCGCTCAACCCACTTTTTCACAAGAAAAGGCCGTGGATCTGGCATGACCACGATAACATGCAGATACCAAGCAAAACGATAAAATGTTTTTTTTTTTTGCACTAATTGCGGTTTAGAGATACAGTAACTGATTTATACTATAAGGCTTGCGTTTACTGATACCTTTACGCGGTAACTCCAACAGAAAATACAATATAAAATTTAGGAACAGCATTGGCATTGTCAAGACATAATAAAAGCAAGCTGTCAAATATATATATATATATATATATATATATTTTTTTTTTTTTTTTACCGGTTTGTTCATATAATGGTGATCGCAGCCACGTTTGGTAAAGGCTAAAGCCCAGCGCACGTGCTGTGCTCCTGGGCGATGCGCGAAACCAAAAACGTCACTTTGGTCGGTTTGCCACAATTGCCAAAATGAGCTATGCCACAATTGCCAAAAATGACCAGTATAGTAAGAGTCCCAGGCGTCAGATAAGTTAGGTCCTTTCCTTTGCAAACAGTCGTTTTTTTCTTATTGCATAATGACCGAAGTGTTTTATTGCACCATGGATTCGATGACTCAGTCCTGATACGTAAAGTAGAAATATGTAACTTAACCAGACTATTTATTTTATTGTTATAAAGCGCCCAGTTTTCCTCAAGAGGTCTACCGAGAATCCCGTTATGTCCGAGCTATAGAAATATGATAAATCATCTTTTTTTGCTTCGTAGTCGGCTTTATTATAATCGTAAATAATTTTACAGGATTTTTTTTTTTTTTACAAATACCGGGAATGATAGGTCGACTTGAAGGATATTATGGTCCCTCAAGCCGTTACAATGCTGAACCATCTTTAGCAGGTCTGGCGATGTAGTTAAGACGAGGTCGAGAATGTTAGCAGAGAGTGTAGGCTTGTTAACCTGCGTCAAGTTGAACGTCTGACACATGTCATGAAACTCGGTCGATGTGCGTGACCCATCAGATGTTACATTGACCAGACGTGTACCATACGCATTACAAGTAATCAAATTACTTGTAATCGATTTCTTTTTGGAGTGACTTTGTAATCAGTTGATTACTTTTATTAGGCAGTAATCACAAGAGTAATCTGATTACTTTTTGAAGTAATAAAATTAGTTGTAACCGTTACTATTTGCCCATGGGACCCCCCCCCCCCCCCCCCCCCGGCACACGCCTTGTTTTATGAACTGACAAAAATAAAATTTGCTTGTTTTTTTTTTTTAAAGGAAAAAAGAAAGATTTTTGCGAAGCTGCAGGAAACGAGGTCAATCTCTTTCTATGTACAGTTTCTGTGAAATGTCCGTTTTCTTTTTGTTTGTTTTTTCGAGCTGGGACTGGAAGTGGGAAGCCCCAGGAAAGCCACAGTGCGTGACAAAGGCCATTCAGGGCGAAGTTTGAGGAAGCAGAATGTAGCTTTGTGAGTCCTTTGTTCAAGCTAGGCCCCTCACGCACACACACACAGAAATAAGAAAATAAAAAGAAATCCTGCTTAGGGTACCTACTCGCAGCCCGCAGGAGAACCAGAACCGAAGAATGCCTAAAACGGATACAAAATATAACAAAGGCAGGTGAAATATTTCCCCATTTCCCCTACGTGGTCTTTGTGACAAGCAATGTTTCGAGTTCAGAAGTGGTCGGGGCGATCTCTTCCGCTAATGGATACCACACATGATCCGTTTCAAATCCTGGAGCTGCTGCTTTTTTGTATAACATGCGAGCTCATCCACATGTGAATAATAAAATGAGCGACGCAAATTTTGAGCGATAACCCTTGCTCAAGCTTAACAAGATCTAGAACCCCCTCCGCTCCCCCCCCCCCCACCCCCTCCCCCCACACACACACACTAGCGAACGCCCAAATCTTTAAACGTCTTCAAACGAATTCTATACTTGTGTCCGCATTGTGAAGGTGCAACGACCACGAAGAGGGAGCCAGTTTTTCTTCTTCAATACTTGTGCAAATGTGAAATATAGGTTGGAAGTAGTTCACTGTTATGAGCGCTAAAGATGTGTCTTCACACAATAAAGTAATCGGAAAAGTAACGATTACTTCTTTAAGTAATGTCCAATTACTTTGGCCGTCGAGTAATCAAGTAATCTAATCGAATACTTTTTAGCCAAGAGTAATAGTAATTGTAGTCGATTACTTTTTTTAGTAACGTGTACAAGACTGACATTGACCTATTCTATTAGTGGAAAATTAAAATCACCAAAAGGCAACAAGTCAAATTTTGTGGATCGGTTTAAATATCAACTTATATTGAGGAAAACGCGATAGTGAACGATGAATCACAGTCGGGTGGTCTGTAACAACACGCAGCCATAATGATTTTATTTGATGGTGTGCAAACTTATACTGCAGTAAATGCAATATTTTAAAGTTTTATTTGCAATCGCCACATCAAAACAATAATGGCAATAAATGTTGCATTCAATATTATGGGGGAATATTTCTGTGTCATCCATAAAAGGATTAAGCCACCTTTCAGTTAGGACAACGATATCGGATCCACCGCCTTCCATGACAGCACAAAGGTCCTCGCGCTTCGGTATGACACTACGAATGTTAGTAAAAAGAGTAGAATGAAGTTAACTTTATCGCGTGGTCCGATGTGGCCGGGAGCTGATTAACTTTTTATTCACTTTTCGCTTTATTTGCTATGCATTTTGCTTTAAAATAGACTCTGAATCTTGGTCATAGGAATATCGCTTATTTCCAATATGTAATTTATTAAAGCGCGCCTTAAAGAAGACGTCAAGGCCTTTTCCGTACTCGAAAAGTTTGGCTCGGGTTCGCCGCACTGAAACAGAAAAATCCTCGCGGACAGCAAAATCCCTTCCTTTTAGCTTGAACCCGAGGGCCAAGATACCCTCTTTGTCCTTAAAGCGAGGACATTTGACGATAATGGGTCTGTTCTTGCCTTCTTTAAATTTACCTAGGCGGTGTGACCATTCAAGATTGGCAGGGTCCAACTGAATGCCCAACTTTTCTGAACAGAAAGCAAGTACTTTTTTTTTTCTGCTTGACCCACGTTTCGGTCAAAGCGGAGGACAGCCAAAAAATAACAGATTACATCATCGAAGTCGGTTTTGGTGATCATCACATTGTTTTTGAATGTTAGTCAGCTCAACCGACATGCTGTTTGTTGGAGCCGAGCCTGACACAGGCTTTGCCTCGGCTAGCTCTGCCTCAATAGCAGTTATTCTTGCAGACAGTTGACCTACTAAAGCATTTGTACTTTTTTGTTCAGTTTGGAGATCCGTGACCGTTTTGAGTAGCCGCAATTCGCTGAACAGTAGCTAGAATGCTAGCAATAGCTTCAGTATCTGGACCAGGGTTTGATTCAATGTCTGTCGACATTACCAGAAGCATTTGTAAGAGCGAAACAATGTAAGGGCACTCAATACAATAGCAGGACAGCAAATTAAGTAGAAGCGAACGCCGTCATTGGGGCGCGACACTATAAACAGACAGGAATCACTATTGCGAAAACACTGTACATTCTCGAGGTAACTAACCTGTTGGAATAGACGGGTGTACGTCATTACTTGTTTGGTGGTGACGTGCCCCGACGCTTGTTAAAAAGACACTGACACCCCAAAAAAGTTTTTGTTATTTTTGCCAGGCGATTTATTATGGTGTCAGAAGACTACCCAATCATTATTTTTCTACAGCGTCACGTGTATTTTTAATGAAGTTAAAAAACGCAACAGCTTGAAACCGAAACCGAAACTTGACTGGGGAAGAAGAAATTTAGAGGAGGGAGGTGGCGGAAGTCACGTGGCTGCGATACTTTTTTTTTCAATCAACGTATTTGCAGCTTTTTAGAAGCCACAAAATTGGGTATCTTATTTCTATTATATATTCAATAGTGTGTGTGTGCCTTCGATGACCGACGACTGATTATATTTGGTGGTTGTGTCTAAACCATAGAAAACGGCCCGTGACCACGGAGAAGAGAGTGAGCGCGACTCAAACCGGCCAGTTCTGGATCAGCGCTTTTCGGGCGGAAAGAAACCGAATTTCGAGCCACGAATTGTTTTCTGGGTAGTTGGGCTATCATATGTCATGTACAAATGAAAATCTTGGCGGGCATAAATACCCTGTCAGTGTCTCTTTAACAAGAGCGCTGATTTCTAACACATTCTGATTGAACACCAACCTGATGTCGTAGTGCTGACAGAAACGTGACTTCACTCTGCTATCCTTGACTCCGAAATCCGTCCGCGATGAAACGTGATTAGAAAGGATCGTAGCAGTTGAGGGGGTGGTGTGGTGTTCTTTATTGGTGAAAGATTAAAGTACTCTAGGATACCGATTCCGACTGGCATAAAAACCGCGTGGTGCAAGAACATAGATGCCAAGATTACTATCAACAAGTAATTAAATTAGATCACTTGTGACTTTTTGAAAATTGCACCAATGTAATTAAATTACATTAAAAATTGCCACAGACTAAAAGTAATGACATTACATTACAATTACTTTCCATCAGTAATGAATATCTTTGACATTACTTTTCAATATCTTGAGGCAGTAAAGGAGCTAGTTTTATTTACAGTATTTACGAAAACTCGGATCTTTCTGTTTACACCGCAACAGCCTCAGCCTTGTGCCCCTCAGAGTGAACAATACTAAACAGTCGTTTTTGCTGGCGCACAGGACAAGTGTTAAACATGATGAACAGCTTCTTTTTTAGATGCGACTCAAAGACAGCCGACTCATCGGTTTCGCTGCTTATTCAATGGTGAAGGTCCTTAGTTAAAGGGTGATATGTTTCCGTCTTCCTGATTTAGAAGAAGTTATAGTCCGTGTCAGTATGTTAAGTCGGGTCATGGCAGCTCATTCTTATAAGGAGTCGTCACGCGAAACTTTTCCCTTCCGCCTCGGACTACCCTATTCTCCCAAGAGCACTAGCCTCGTATTCCCGGTCATTCCTCTCAAGGAGTATTGTTCCCAAACACTAGAAGAGC